AAAATAAAGCGAAAATCAAAATTGCAAAACAATATATGCATGAAACCAATTTGGAAAAACGGAGATGATTTGAGAGTGAAAGTGCCTGTTTCCCTGTCCGCCGCGCTTAGAGAGTAACCGAAGAACACCAGCATATGCATATTTTAGATCCAATTGAAGTCTCTCATTTCCCCCTTTGCGGTAAGCTTTTCAATTTTGCATTGTCTCATCTCTTGTTTGTGTCGTGATTTGCATTTGGCTCTTTCATAATGGACCACCTGATTCGCTCTCTATTCTTTCTTCTTTAATTCAATCGCGATTTGAACGAAAATTCAGCTCTTGAGTGCTTCCGTTAGTTTTATCACATTTTGTATTTTGGAGCTTGTAGTAGCCGATTTCGTGTTTATCTTTTCCAGCCGTTCACTCCTTTCTCTTTATTTTTATTTTTATTTTAGTTATGGATATGTTGCTTGTTGTACTTTTTCAATGGGGCAACAAAACTCAGCGGCTGTCTCTGCAATTTTGCTACTATTGTTGATAACGTAGGATTACGTATTGATCAGGATGTGTTTTTCCTTGGAAATTCTTTTGGTTGAATAGTAACTGTTATTGGGATCCATGAATGTCATGAAGAGCCTAGCAGTTCTTATACATTATCAATGGAGGTCCTTATTTTCTTGTTATGAATAAGCTATAATTTATTTTTCGTTTCAGTTAAATCTTGTCTGTGATACGTTCTTTTTTATCTATAAGACGATGTCAAGGAGACCTACAGCTGGTCGACGCCTTGCTGACAGTGGGAGCATTCCTTTTGAGGGTGCACTGCACTCGAAATCCCATACATCTCCACTATTGTCTATCGGCCTTTTTGTTGTGGTAAGTCTCTCCTGTAATTACGGAAAAATTTCAAGGTTAATTCTCATGTCCTCCTTTATGTTATGTTTGGTGATGAGCGTCTTGACATCAAAGAGTATGCTTGCCTGGCTTGAATTCATTGTCCGCAAATTGGGTACTTCTTGTGGATTATTCTTATTATTATGTGAAAATTAATTAATTTTTTTAATCTTAATTTTTTTAATCAGGGAGCTTTGCTGATTATTGGTTATATCTATCATGACTCAGGTCTGTGCGTGAATGTGTCTGATATGTTTTTATACTTATATTAATATCAATCACATACTTCTTAAACATATAATGCGCACATACTTATATGTCCTAAATAATTTTAGGAAGCTCTAAAAGAATGGTGCATTCAGTTTTTGCAGTTAAATTTCATCATCTGCAGTTAGTCTGACTTTCGAATTGTTTGCGTACAGGTGGCAGGAATGGCGACATTGGCTCCTTGAATAGACTTGATGGTAATTCCTTTCGACTTAAAAGCAGTAGTTCATTTTGTTTATTCTTATCCTCTATGTTAGCATACAAGGATGAATAAATGCTCCAGGTACCACAAGAGAGATACCCCTTAGTAGATATCAACAGTAACAAAAGTATTTGTTATGGCATTGCCTATTTTATGATTGTATACTTTCCATTTCTTTCATCATCTCAAATAACGAATAATATGCTTGTCTGATAATTTACCACTTCTGCCACCGCTTCAAAAAAAAAAAGTATCTTCTTGCTAAAAGTCATATCATTTTTTGTTTATCAATATATACATTTTGTTTATATATAATTTATCACTGTTTCGGCAAATACATTGGGTCAGAGCTTATGATTGTTCCCCTTGTTTCTTTTTCATCCTATCATGTCTACTAAATCTGAACAAGATGCTACTATAATATAGAAAGTTAGGTATGTATAATCCATTCACATGTATTATGTGCAGGTGGTGTTTTAGGCACTCAAGAAATTCACAGACTAATACCTATTCTAAAGAAAGCATATGGCAACAGCATGAAGAAAGTGTTGCACGTGGGCCCAGATACTTGCTCGGTAGTCTCTCAGCTATTAAAAGAGGAAGACACAGAAGCTTGGGGTGTGGAGCCGTATGAGCTGGACGAACCTGATAGCAACTGCAAGAGCCTTGTGCGCCAAGGAATCGTGCGTGTGGCTGATATCAAGTTTCCTCTTCCTTACAGGCCTAAGTCTTTCTCACTCGTCATAGTCTCAGATGCATTGGATTACTTGTCGCCCAAGTATCTCAACAAGACTGTTCCGGAGCTTGCCAGGGTATCTGCTGATGGCTTGGTTATATTATCCGGTAATTATATGATTATATTTATAGCCAAAGCATGACTTGTTATGTGCTTCCATGATTCTTTGGTAGCTAATATGCTATACCAGAAAAGAGTGGGCAAACGAAAATCTCGGTGGTCTAATTAATCGAAAAATGTTCTTAAATAAATAAATCCCCCTTTTTATTTTCAGGTGGACTCCTTTATTCAATCTTGGTAGTGTAGATATAGTTGATTTGAGTTCAAGTTTTTGTTGTCAACATGCTGACTCACTAGGTGGACGTCTGCATAAGTAGGATTAGTTAATCATGATGTAGGCTTGTCGCAAAATGTGGATTTCTGTCCTTTATTTTACTTGTTTCTTCAATTTCCATCAGTTACCGGCTTACCGTTAACATCTGAATCTTTTCAAACTTTATCCCTAAAGTTTGCTATTAAATAAACGGAGTCACTCATTTACAAATAACCCCCTGGCATGGGGGTTATAATTTACTACTACCTCCTATTCTTTTTAAATGTCATTTTGGCTTTATTAACTATTTACCAAATAAATGTCGTTTTGGATCTTTTGTGCATATTTTTCCATTATTACCCTCATTTAGCTAATAAATACACTATGTCTTTTCATATTCAATATTCATTTTTTCCCAAAACATCACTCTCTATCTTCATTAAAGAAGGTTATTATTGGCAAAAAAAATATTCTTTATTACTGTGCAACTTCTTAAAACGACACTTATTATGAATAGGAGGGAGTATTAGAGAGGACATATGTGACACGAAACGAACCTAAATGAAGTATTCGTAACTCTGCAAGGAGTTTCTTATAATGTTTAAAACTACTGGAGTTTTGTTTGCTTCCTTTCCCTTTTTTCTTTCGGAAAGCGAACATTAACATCTAGTCAGCACTTGTAATTATTTCTACCTTGAATGTGGGGACTGATGCATCTATTACAAAATGGAAAGGTCATAAGTTTCCAAATAATTAGTTTCATTCGCATATAGTACTTATTGTATTCTTTCTTGGTCACCTACCAGCCTTACTGTGAAGAAAAAAAGGTTGTGGCTTAGTCCAGAAACATTGACTTACTAAATGTAGTAACCCAAAGCTTATAGGAGAAGACATGACTGTTTCAGAATTATACAGTCCATTCTTCTATTGTTAGCATTTAGGGCCTGTCTTGGAATTAATCGACATTGGCTCTGTCAACTATGCTTACAGGTTTTTATAGGATGATCTTGTACTAGGTTTTGGCTGACAAGGTTAAAATTGCCATATAAATGTAGGTTACCCAGGTAAGCAGAAGGCTAAAGTGGCCGAGCTATCCAAGTTTGGGCGCCCCGTAAGTGCCAATATTTTAGTTTCTCCTTTTCCTTTTCAAATTATTATTTTTATTTTTTGGTTTGTAATATTTTTAACGATTCTCTGATAATTTTACACGTAAATTTGTACTTTGTTACGGCATGTACAAAAATGAGATACCTGATTGATACATAAATTTCCAGAATAAATTTCTTCGGTCTAATATATATATACTGTTCGTTACCGTAACTATACTGATTTCAATAAATTATTAAAATAGGATAAATGTTAAAACTGTTGTCAGCTAGTTGTCTCTCTTTGGCTAGTCATGAAATTTTCTGTTCTCTATATGAATATTAATTTTTATAGAAATATCTCATGTCTTAAAGTTAAAACTGTTAGTATTATCGTGTGGGTAATCATTATGTAGGCTAAATTGCGAAGCTCATCTTGGTGGATAAGATTTTTCACCCAGACAAGCTTAGAAGAAAATGAATCTGCTATCAAGGAGTTTGAACAGATAGCAGCTAAGAACTCATACAAGTCAGCCTGCCAAGTTTTCCACCTCAAACCATTGCTTTGATCATCGGTATAAACATAATAGCAAAAATATTTACTTTAATTGTCATTCTGGAAATTCGTGTTAGTTTTTCTCAATACAGATTCTGGGGTACCTAAATATTTAATTCTGCATTTCTATTCCAATTATTTTATTTATTTCTTATTCTGATAGTAACTAGCATCGAGCAAGATGTAACATTCTTACATGTTGATTTACTTTTAGCGAAAAATGCTCTGCAGAATTATTCAATGTACTTTTCGATGAAGTAGAGGGAAAGTGGAAAAAAGAAATGAAAATGAGCAAATATTAATCCCAATGCTTTTTTTTTTTTTTTTTTTTTCTTTTT